TGAATAACCCTATTGGTGTTACTTGGTGTACAGAATCATAATAATCTAATAGATACTAAAAAAAGGAGCCCCCCAACTGTATGCTTTTAACCCTTTTTTTATTTCTTTTTCCAGATGTCACATGGCATGCAGGCAGAGGCGTTGCTACAGGGGGGCGAGAGGGGGCAATTACCCCCCCTAGGTTACTGCTTGCCCCCCGTGTGCCCCCCCGCCAGGGCCGGACTGGCCATCAGGCTGATTGTGTTCAGCCCGCACGTCCGCTATGCCGGATGCAGTGGCTTAAACTAAGCCCCTTCCGTGGACTATGGGGCAGTGCAGGGTCCCGGTGTTAGAACACCGGGTCCCGCACTGCCGACTCAGTAAGGGGGCGGGCTCTCCCGACCGCGTCCCTAGTAACAGGCGGCGGGAGAGGAGAAGTGAGTCACACGCCCCGCCCCCTGCAGTTAACACAGAAGTAGCTATGCGGGGTTAATGGTCGTTCTGGGGTAGCTGTGCAGGGCTAATCGTCGCTCTGGGGTAGCTGTGCGGGGTTAATGTCGGCTCCGGGGTAGAATGCATGTGACCTATTGGACCCAGAGAGCCCCTTCCTGATACAGCCAGAAAGATGAACAGATCGAACTGAAAGAAGGTGGCCTCAAATGTACTTCCTCAGCACAGCAACCACATTTAAGGCATGAGCTTAAACAAAACTTTATTCTGGAATATTGGCAACAAAGATGTCCTATTTAGATGGAAGGATCTTTCAACCTTTGGATGATCCTAGGAGATAGATTTATGGTTTATCCTGTCTGGGAAATGGTAGCAATAAGATGGTTTGCAGCTTAAGCTTCACTATCCAAGACCCTCCTCCCTGAGGAGATTGCTGTAAGAAAGACTATTTTACATGTTACTGATCTAGACGAAGTCAGGGAAGGAAGAACATATTTGTAAATCCTAAGGGAAATGGAAGTGACCTTCCTGAAGAGTGAATTCTTGTGCAAGCCCTTAAGAGCTGGTCTATTAACTAATGAGCTGCCACTTGTGTCTCAGAGGATGCAGATAGAAGGAACTGACACCCAAGCACATATTGCCTGCTGAAGAAAGTCCAATATACAGTATCTGTCATGGCAAGAGGAAGAGAGTCAAAACCTTTTGAGCTTGCGAAGTCTATGAATTTATTATCCCACACTCTAGAATATGTGACATCTAGTAGGTGCTCTAGCATTCAACAAACACTCAATGACTGAAGATGAATAATTCAGGCAAGCCAGCAAGCTGCTTAAGGTAATTTTGGATGTGTTTGGATGTAGCACCTGCTGTAGAATCTCTATGAATAAGCCGTTTGGTACAACATGTTAGAGTTGGAGAAGTCTGTGTGTTTGCAGCATGTTTTGACATTAGGAAAAAACATTGTCCAGCTTGCGATATCAGTCGTTTGCGCGGCAATTGTTTCTGTGAGAACCATTATCAAGCTGCAGCGTGCCTTTTTTTGCCTGCACCAACAAGAGGGATGAGGCTGTGTGACCTCAGGACAAGGAATATGAGCGGTGACTGCTTTGTGAGTTTTACCTGCTGCAGAAGCTCTGAATTTTTAGGATGACTAGAAGATTCCAGGGTCATAGTCTACAAGAGAGAGAACCCTGGATGGATCTACCGTCAATGGACTGTCAGTGACCTTGCACTAAGAGGTTGTTGAAGTGATTAGCACATAAGAATCTATTATTAACACTATCACTGGCTAGGGACACTGATGATGACATTTGAAAAAGCCTCGCCGGCCTTAGCCACAACCAAAGAATCTCATATTCGTTTGAAGAATCCTGTTGGAAGACCTTCAGCCTCCAAGAAGTCTAATGTCACTATTTACCTTGATTCTGTCAACTTGAGACAATGGGATGCCAATGAGTAAGATAGAGACTTGATCTGCCTCAAATAAAACCCTAAGACTGCTGCCTACTTGGAAATTCTATAGAGTTTCTCTGAAAACATCATCCATTGTGTTGGCATGGCTTGGCTTTCCCTGTTGGCGAACCCCAATAAATTCAATCAGGGCCTAACTTAAGATGTTCCCGTGGACTGCCAGAGTATGAGTATGCTGAACTATTAGCAGGATGTCAGCGCAAATAGTGGAATACTTGAAGCCTTGTTCACTCAAGGAGGCAGTGATTGGATATAATATTTAGAAAATGACCTAGGACTGTGGTGAGGCCAAAGGGCAGATAAACAAACTGAAAGTGGAACTTTAGAATGACAAGGAAGACATTTGAGGAAGTATAGGTGCACAGGAACATGAATGCACATCTGCCACATCCTGTAGCCTGTTGATGGCTTAAAGTGACATTAAAGGCTAACCCCCCCCCCCCACAACCAATGTTAGTGTAAGGACTTACATTAAATGATGCCTCTTAATGCGATCATCTTCTTCTTTAGTGTAGTTTTCAGATGTCCCTCCAGCGCTGGTGCGTGTTTCCGATCCAGCGCTGACTCCTCTGTCCTCCTTTTCTCTCATGTCCCACGGAGTCTGTGCGGGTGCACGCTGCCCCATAGACTTACCTTGTGTCTCCTCGTCTCCCGGCCAAACATCTGAACTGCGCATGCGCCCGCCCCAAGATCCTTTGCGGCCGCCCGATAAATTTTCAGATGTCTGGAAGGGAGCGTGCGGCGGAGACACTGGTAAGTATTAACCCTTTGAAAAAGTTTTTTTTGTTTTTTTTTTTATCATTTTGCAAAAACATGTGAGGATTTAATAACCCTTTAAGTGATTGAATACAGAGAGTCCATATGCAATATGTGGATCCTAATCCATCTGTTCAGTGTTCAAAACCAAGACTAATCTTAAGTGACACTAAACTCAGGAGTTAAATCTTAAAAATGCATTTGCGTACCTTAACTAGATCATCAAATCATCTCTGAATTGGTGCTGACACTGTCCTTCCTTCTGGAGGGTGGCTACTTTTGTTCCCCATGGTCCCTGTGTGTGTTGTAAAGTAGTCACCGATCCAAGCTCACTCCTGTGATGTACTACAATCTCAATACAAGTTAGTAAACTAAACATGAGATTGTCGTCCATCACGGGAGCGAGCTTGGAGCGGTGACTTCTTTACAACACACAGGGACCATGAGGAACAAAAGTAGCCCCCCTCCAGAGATAAGGACAGTGTCAGCACCAATTCAGAGATGATTTGATGATCTACAGCCGAATGATACACAAATAAAAGTACCCCAAATTTTTGTTAATAGTTGGGGTACTTGAATAGATTTTCAAGATTTAACTACTGAGTTTAGTGTCACTTTAAAGGGTAAGTTCACTTTCCCAAGTGAATTTGGGACAATGGAATTACCCGCTCAAATCTGGCCCCCTCTCCCCACCCCCTAATCCGCTATACTTGCCTTTTGGCAAACACTCCTTCCCCTCTGCCAGTGTACTATCCGTAGCCGTACTGATCCATATCACAGCCCTGTGCTATGGATTTTGAATTTTGATTGCAAATAAAATTGTGAGCATTCATTGGTCACCTGACTGCGCTGACCAATGAGAAGCACTTCTGACCACGGTGACCAATGAGTGCTCTCAATTTGCGAGCGAAAGTCAAAATCCAAAGCATAGGGCTGTGCTATAGAATAGTATGGGGTATGGATAGTACACCCATACTGGTAGAGGATAAGGACCATGCTCCGAAGCGTAAGTATAGTGGGGGGAGTGAACTTATCCTTTAATATTGTAATAAAATAAACAAATGTAGTGTCCTATGTCTTTCAGAGAATGCTACTACCAATAATAGTGATTTCTCCCTATACTAACAAGCTCTCTGTCTCTTTTCTGTCTCTGCCTTTCCTCACAGAATGTCTCTGACGCTCTAGTTCTGCTTCATTCTCTGTCTCTACCTGCAGAAGTCCCAAACTTGAAGAGGAGAATCTCTTCCCATTAACACATAACAAAGATGAGGAAGATGAAGATCCTGGTCTCAGAGAAGGAAGATCGCCATACGCAGATGTGAGGATGACCACTCCCAGCACTGTATACTGAATCTCCAATGGATTCCCCATGTGGTGCTTGAAGATGGACTCAGTGCATGAGAATGCACTCAATATACTGTATGTAATACACATTAAGGAGAACAAACCTGTTATGTGAATGTAAAATATATCATGTCTGGGAAAGGCTCTTTGAATAAATGTAAGAGACTCTCATATAAGAATTATTGTTGCTGCTAAACATTATTTGATACATTTTATATAATGCAAAGAGAGATTATAAGTCTCATTAGTTCATATAAACCAATCAGAATGTATTGTCAGGGGATTATAAAGGGTAGACTCATTAAAAGTGAGTAAATGGGCTATTGCACTTTACTATCTGCTGTAATAAAGACTCTATAAATTCAGACTCAATAATTAAAATATATTGTACACTGAAATACTCCCCAGTAATGAACAAGAGTGATATTGTTTTAAATGAAGAAGTAATAAACTAAATACAACCAATTAACACTTCTAACTTTTTCTTGTAATAGACAAATGGCAAATATGCAAATGATCAGCTCTTTCTACCCAACACCCCTGAACCTGTCATGGTGATTGACAGCATAGGTTATACAGAGGAAAACAAGAACAGTTCTCCTATTACTGCATTTTACATAGTTTTTTTGCATTTTTAGTGTATTTATGTCCTGATGTGGAGGAGGATGACCATACACACAATGTTTAAATCCTGATACGTACAGACAGTAGTTTGAGGCATTAGAAGTCCATAAAAATAAATAAGGTTTACAAAAATATATTTTTTTCTAAAATTACAG